GAGGCTCATGCACGTGACCTGGCACCTGATGAGAGATCTGAACTCGTAAGAGCTGAGCGGGGAAGGTGCGGGGTGTCTCTGAGGGGGCCTGTTCCCAGAGGGGACCTGGAAGCCATGTTTTCTGCGGTCTTTGGGAGGACACAGCCCCGCCCCACGTCCCCCAGGGTCTGGACCATGTGGGGTGGGGTGGAGGGGACGTGCCCTGCCCCCCATCTCATCTCTGCCCCCCGTCTCCTCTCTGCCACAGGCCCAGACCTGCATGTCCTGCATCATCCTGGATCTCCGAGGAGCCCAAGGAAATGGAGGACCCTGATGCTGCCTTCATGCAACCTCCTGACTAACCTGACGGTGGGTGGTTGGACCCCGAGAGATGCTGCGCGAACAGGCCGGGGACGAAAGGGCTGCGGGACCTTGCTTCCTCTTTCCTTATCTTTACTTCCGTTAATAAAACAGTCAAGAAGGCGGTGTAACAAATAAATGCTTTACTCACACTTTCGTATAGGTGGTTTCTTTTACAGCAGTTTCAGGATTAGATAACTCGAGAGCTCTGAACGGTCTAAACGATGTATTCGGTCACGATGGGGGGCGTCGGGGGGGAAAGGGATTTCGTGGACGCAGGACCTCCGGTGAGGGTGATCAGGCCTCTCCGATATCGCGCGGGTCCTCTCTATTTTTTTTTCTCCCCTCCCTCTCTCTCTCCACCCCCTTCCCCTTCGCGCCTTTTTTCTTTTCTTTTCCTGTGCGCGCTGAACGGGCTGCATGAGCTGAGAGATTTTGCTGCATGCACTGATCATGCCCTGAACATCCGGTCCCTCTCTTCCCCCTCCCCTCTCCGTCCTTTTCGCACGCTCGCTCACCCGATCACACGGCTATCAGGCCCCGCCCACCAGTTCTCCCCGCGCCCCGAACACAACCCGCTCTCGCGTCTGGCGTTTGGTCACTCCTTTTTTTTTTTTTTTTATCACATGCCCCCTTGACCAAATGCCAGGCTCAGACATCTTTAAGCTCGAGAACCTCTTCTCCTATAATGAGTAAGTGAGTATATACAAAACTGAAACAACATTAAACGCCGTTTGATAACATATCCAATACAAACACATAATAAGGCACCAAACAATGGTAACAATAGGGTTATCAAGAGCCAGTCAGTACTGAACCCAGCCGCGTCTGTCTAAATTTTTATGAGGTGCAGCATGGCGTTTTTGCTGGGGGTCGTTGCCGATGGGTTCACTCACGGTGACGGTTGTCCCAAATACAAGTACCAATGCGATGTTTCACACTATGTCATGCATCGGCAGCTTCATACTGTTTTAGGCTGGAAAACAAAACTTGGGGTTTGTTAGTAATGTATACTAAACTGTGCTACGTCGACTTAGCCAATTATGGTGGGCTAAGACGGTGCATGCGGGTGAGACTGCTTCAAGAGAAACAAAATAGGTATTCGGGTATTCGCCGGGTTTAAGTACAACACTGGGAGCTGGGGTTGGGCGCTTGCTGGTAGCTGTGGGAATGGCTAGCCACACTGTTTCTTGGGATGAGTAACATGGCTTCCAAGGCGGACGTGGCACCGGGGTGCATTCATCCCACAAAGCTTTAGTGGCGTTCATGGCAATTAGTACATCATTGTTGTACTTGGTCCAGTTCTTGAACGATCCATTTTCCTTTATAGACCCCAAAACCCCCCTCCCAGCGCCACCACCAAGCCAGCATGGGCCAGGCCCAGCGGGTACAGCCTGGTGCAGCCTTCCAGCCCACAGCTGCAACTTGCCTTCCCCCCGCACCCTTCAGCCCGTGTGGTACAAATACGTTAGAATTTAGACATAGTGCCTTTTTGCAAAATGCTTCTGTATTCAACATGGCTTGCAAATAGCTTCTGCATTAGCTTCTGCACATAGATTGGAACCTGCTATACCCCTAAAACTTCACGACCATACCTTCTCAGTGACCTAGAGTTACACAGGGATAAGGGGTTACTAGAGGACATTAAGTTTACCACAGTATCCCCTGTTAAAACACACAGGTGCTATAACATAACCCATAATAAATTGAGCATAGCCTAGAAACTTTGACATCCTGTGGAAATTGAGCGTAGCCTGGAAACTTTGAGATCTTGCGGAAACTTAGACGAAACAGTAGAATCTATAAGACTGCCAATAGTTGCATGACACGCCAAGGTTCTTTGTTTAGGCAAGCTATACAAAACCCGGGGTCGACTTAGCTTTGGGCGACTAGCCCCTTTGTCGATCTGTTTGCGCAAACAATAAACTTGAAATGGACCCAGCCTGAGTGTGTGTGTGTGACTCTCTCCTTGAGGTAGATTGGAAAGGCCTCCAGGGGCATGAAACTAGCCGTTTGGGCAACTATTTGGCGAGCCAGGCAGGAGCTGCCCTTGGACCACCCCGGGGTCAACGACGAGACCGGCAAAGGTGCCGTGAAGTGGCCACCAGACCGCTTTTGGAGTCTGCCACAGTCACTGGGAACATGAGTCGGGACACCTGGGAGGTTAAAGGCACTCCACTGAATGAGTCACCCAGGCTGAGTGGGTCCGAAGAGAAGGCGCCAGGGCATTGGCAGAGTAAGTATTCGCTTTCTTGTGTCACTTGAGTAGTCTGCCGGGGAGTTTGGGAGTCCGGACATTGGTTTTGGCATTCAGCATGTCGGTCTGAACATTAGTCCCGGGGACTTTGTTCATGGGAAACATGAGCCGCTGACCAGGTCTGGGACTAAGGTTGAGTCTAGCCGCCCCGAGTCTGCCTGACAAGGTAGCGTCGAACGCAAGGGGACTCAGCTGGAACCTCATGACCCAGTGGACGTTAGGCCCGAAAAACTTCTTTTAGAGACATGAGCCGCTGACCAAGTCTGAGACTAAGGCTGAGTCTAGCCGCCCCGATTCTACTTGACAAAGTAGCGTCGAATGCAAGGGGGCTCAGCTGGAACCTTGTGACTCAGCGGACAGGACTCTGAGTGAGTGTGTATACTGGTTGACACAATGGGTTCGGGTAGCTCCCGAGAAGAAAACTCTGCAACCCCATTAGGATGCATGCTAAGGAATTTTAGTAAATTTAAGGGAGATTACGGAATAGAGATGACAAAGAATGACTTGATTAAGTTTTGTCAGTTAGAGTGGCCAACCTTTGAAGTAGGGTGGCCGGAGGTCGGCTCTTTTGATGTACAGGTGGCTAATGTGGTGTTGAAGGTGGTAACAAGGGATGGTCATTGGGATCAATACCCGTATATAGATTCTTGGACTAGAACTTTAATGACACCCATTCCCCTATGGGTCGAAAAGTGCAAGGGAAGAATGTGTAAAATGTTACTGGCAAAAGACACTGGGAAAAAGCCCCGAGTCCTTCTCGATTCTGGTAGTGAGGGAGAGCTGACTCAGGGACTAAGGCATAGGAATAGAGCACAGTCTCCGGCCAGTACCCACGCTTCAAGAGAGAGAAGCTCGGAGAGTTCCCTGGCATCATCCCGAACGAGCTCCAGCAACCTGGGATCGGAAAGCCCAGAGTGTTCCCCAGCATCATCCCAAGCGAGTCCTAGTACTTCGGGAAGGGGAGGCCCAGGGAGTTCCTCAGCGTCATCCCAAATTGACCCCGACACCCCGGGAGGGAAGAAAGAAGGAAGTTCAAAGAGCCTTCTGGCATCAGCCCCCCCCGGCTTATGAGTATGGAGAGAAAGACAACCCACCAAATCCCAACCCGGATCCCGACTACCCGTGGCTGCTTGCCCCATGGCCCCCACAATGGTGTCGCGAATCCTGGGAGGGATATGCACTGGCACCACCACTAGCTAGAATCCCCCACGGGAGGGAAGAAAGAAGGAAGTTCAAAGAGCCTTCTGGCATCAGCCCCCCCCGGCTTATGAGTATGGAGAGAAAGACAACCCACCAAATCCCAACCCGGATCCCGACTACCCGTGGCTGCTTGCCCCATGGCCCCCACAATGGTGTCGCGAATCCTGGGAGGGATATGCACTGGCACCACCACTAGCTAGAATCCCCCATAAGACCCGCAACCCAAAACCCCAGTATGTGTTTCCGATGAGACAAGTGGCAGTTCACGAAGGGGAAACTACCTTTGTCTATGTGCCTTTCCAAACATCAGATTTGTTCAATTGGAAGAATCAAAATCCTTCTTTTAGAGAGGACCCCGAGAAAATGCAGAGCTTATTCCAGTCAGTAGGGCAGACTCATCGCCCCACCTGGGCTGATGTTTAGATGATGTTACACACCCTTCTGACCTCTGAGGAGAGGCGATTGGTACT